CAGTAAGTCTAACATTTGAGCTTCACAGGGACAGTGTCTACTGATTGCTTTTCCCCTCCATGTAAGGGTTGCACTTTCTTACCTCATTGCATGCCCTGAATTTTCTGTTGAAAACTAAACATTTCAAATAATAATGTTGCAACTCTGGAAATCAGATTGTTTTCCCAGGGCTTGTTGTTGTTGCTGCTTATTGTAGTAGTTGTTTGCTAGCTCGCTTTTCTGAACTCATTCTGTAAAGTTTGTATCTTTGTTGTTATGACCATTAAAGTCACTATTTAGTTATCTTATGGATCAGTTAATGACTGGACAGAGAATTCTTTAAATACTTGGAATCAATAAGTCTTCCAGTATTTGCCAAGGATCTCTGTGTGCATGTTAGGACACTCATTCAACTCTGCATTAGCCTCACTTGCTACTTGCAAAGAGCCATAGGTCAGTCAGAGGTGAGACCTTAGGACTCTTTCAGATATTTTCTGAGCATGTGCATGGCCCTACATATGTAGATTCCCAGGAATATATCTGAGCTTTTCAGAGCTCCTATGGGAATCTCATCTTTCATCTTTTTCTTTCACACTTTTTGGTTGGTCTCTTGTTTGCCCTGCCATGCTGTTATATTATCTATCTATCTATCTATCCATTCATTTATCGTCACCTATCTATCTATCTATCACCTCAGAGCACCATACTGTTAAAACATTAAAAAACACCCCTCTCCCCACAAACTTTCAGCACTGGGTAAACATGGATATATTGTATAGCATTACATGGATATATTGTATAATGAGGTAACGAGGCTTTAAAAGAGCCATCTGTGTTCTGCTCCCTCCAGTCCTGGGAATGTGGGCTATTATTTTTCAAGGCTGCACAGAGCTAGGGAGAGGGAGATGGGACTAGGGTAAATTAAAATATCACAGAGCTTGCTTTTCTCCTTGTGCATGGGTTGTACTCTGCCCTTACTGAGATTCAGCCATTTCCTTGCCTACAGCTCCCTAGGTTGCTGTGAGCCTTTGGTTAATATTCAGAATTCTGAAAAAGTTGATTCTGACATTTTTTTTTTGGCCAATGTTTTCTTTGTTTTTATGGAGGGGTGAATTCTGGAGGTCCTCCTTTTGCCATTTTTACCCTCTTAATTAATTTTTAAATTTAAGAGTATGTCTAAACTTTGCAGGGAGTGGGCAGTTTGAGTGTTCCACAAGTTAACTTTAAAGTTCACATGAACAAATAATCAAAAAGTAACTTGAAAATCTCTCAAAAAGTATAATGACATGAGAATAGTCCTACCCAGGATTAAGACAT